TATTAATTTTTTTAAATAAAAAAGTTATAAATTAATAATAATTGAAATTAATATTTAACACTAGGTATCTATCTATCCTATCTATCAATTTTTTAAATCAAAAATTTCATCTTTTATTGAATCAACATATATAATTAAAATATAAATTAAAAATAATAAAAAGTGATAATAAAATTGGAGAGTAGGGATTTGCAGCTTTAGGATCATTTTTAGAAGGACTGAACAATCTTTCTGAATTGGCTCTAGCATTTAAGTAAGAGCAATTCATTATTTTGTTTTTAAATAAGCTAAGTCTAAAAAATTTGATAATATTTTCATTTAATTTTTCTTATTGAATTTTTAATTTAAATTTATTAGAAGTTTTAACTATGAAAAATTTAATATATTATATTAAAAAAAAATCATTCATTTATTTAATATTTAGCTTAATTTCTAATTAAAATAAATAACTTTTTTAATTTATTATTCTCAGCAATTTCAAAATAAAAATGATATTCCAATATAATTAATTAATTAAAATATTTCATTTTTATTTTCTTCTTATTAATATAATAAATTTGATTATTAGCTTTAATTATTTTGTTTAGTTACATTATTTATTAATAATGTTTTCTTTAAAATATGTTATTATATTGTCTTTTAAAAACTTTTATAGCAATAATAATCTTGAAAATAAAGAAGTTAAAGATCTATATCTTTCTTTGGCTAAATGCAAAAAAATTTCAAAATTAACACTTATTTCAGGGTATAAATTATCTTTTCCTAATAATTCTTTATTTATTTAATTTTCTGTATTTAAAATTTATAATACTTATTGAATAAATCAAAGCAATTTTTAAGTTAACTCTTTTTCACTAAAAAAAGATAAAATCATAAGCATAAAAATAGCATACTACATTTAGGATATGCATTAATGCAATTAACTAACCTCTCTACTCTAAGTATAAAAGACCATGAGTAAAAATAGCTTATTTATTTTACAATTTTAAAAAATTAATTTTTCTTTAAATGTAATGATAAATTTGATCTATCTTCTTTCTTATTTTAAATTAACATTTAATTAATATAAGGATAATATGCTAAGGATTTTTAAGTTATTTGAAGAGTTGCCAAAGAGTTTCTTTTCTTAAGTTAAAAACCACGTAAAATAATTCTAGATTCTTATTTATACTATTTATAATATGTTGTTTTATTTTTTAAATTTAAAGGAATGATGTCTTAAATATAATTTGGAAAATGAAGAGACTTGTAAAATTTGTTAAATTATGATTATGAATCTTTAATTCTAATTCATATTAGAAATTTATATTTATGATTTTAGATTTTATTTTTCATAGAAATTTTTGTATTAAAATAAAAAATTTATAATATAAAAATAGAGTAAAAATATAATTCATTATTTCAATTTTTAGTTAATTTCATAAATTTATTTATAAATATAATTTATTTTTATTTCTCATACATTAAGCAGCTCTGATTTCATTTAAATTTGGTCTAAGAAAATTTAGCTTTTCAAATATTTTTAAATAGGTCTTAATAATAAAGTTGGTCTTATTTGTAAAAAAATTTTTTCTCTTCTAAAAATACTAAATTTATCAATTTAAAAACCATAAAATGAATTAAAAAGTTCTATTTACCCTCATTTTTAAGCTAAACTTTTATAAGATTAAAGTTAAAATAAAATAAAAAATCTGACATATTTAAAGCATTTATTGATCATTTTAATATAAATAATATCCTGAATTGCATAACTGAGGATTTTAAATACTATATATATTTCAATGAAGGGGGTAAATTAATAAGTAAATTTTTTAAATTAGATAGAAAAAATTTTTTAAAATTTAGTAATTGAATAATAAATTAAGACTATTATTTTTATTGTTCCTGTATTAAATCTTGTTGAATAAATTCTTTTACATAATCACAATTCTTACATTTAAAATTATATAATAATTATTTATCAATATTAATAGCTATGAACTCAAGTTTTTAATTATATATACATTATTTATTTAATATATCTAATTAATAATTTTACAACGAATTTTTTAATTAAATAATAAAAAGACACTTTTATCAAGCAATTTATGAAAAATTTTATAAAATTTATAGTATAAAATTTTACTTTAGAAAAAGAAAGATTAATATCACAATAATCCATAGATTTATTTTTAATTTTAGGAATCAATGCATTTATTGTAAAAATTTATATAGTATTTTCAAAAAATTAATTTTTACTTACTGAAATATAAAATTTCTAATTAAATTATTAAGAGACACTTTTATCAATCTATATAAAGAGACACTATTATCAAACTATTTAAAGAGACACTTTTATCAAGCTATTTTTGAAAATGATTGAATGATTTATAGAAACTTTTAAAATAATGCTTATTTTTTTTAATACTAATTTCTATCAATTTTTCACTATTAAAACAATTCAATTTTGTATTTTTTAAATAATTTATTCAATTAAAAAACATTAATAATATAAAATTTTACCTTAGAAAAAGAAAGATTAATATCTCAATGAAATATTTAAAATACAATCGATTAAACAGAGTAACAAATTTCTCAATACTTAAAAATAAATGTTTTAATAAAAAAAAGTTTCTCAAATCTTATTTGCCATTGCACAAGAATGTAGAGATATTTTTAAAGTAAACATAATTTAAAAATTATTACATTTAATTTTCTAATTATCTATAGAGGTTTAAAATAATTTTATTCTCAAATCAATTATAAATTTTTTTAATTATCAGTAGATATATTTTTTAAATTTATGGAAAATAAAAATATAAAATTAAGACTGTTACTTTTTTATCTATTTACCTATTTTCTATTTGGTATATAACCAATAAATAGCAGTTAAAAAAACGAATTAGAAGAAAAGAAATTATCAGACTTAGATTCTGCTTTAGAAAAATGTACCAATCTTACAAATTTGAAGCTAAAGATTAGGTAAATTTTTTTATTACTGCCTCTTTTACACTAAAAATACTTTGTAATTCAATAAAAAAATTATCTTAAAAATATAATTCTAAAAATTAGCTTATTCTCATTTATTACTTCTCACTTAAATAATGTTAATACTAACTAAATATAAGTTTGAAGGATTTTAGTTATATAGAAACACCTCAAATGATATCATTTTTAGCAAAATTGAAGGATAAGTGCTTAAATTTATATTCAGAATATTAATACTTAGAAGATGTTCCACATTTTATCATTTTTTGTAAGTAAGATAAGTTGATTTTTTTATTTATTTTTGAATTTTAGATAATAAATATTTTTTAATAGTAGATTTAAAATTTTTATATCTTATTTTAAATAGCTTCAAACAATTTGACAGCTAAATTATTACTAAGGAAAAGGAATATACTTCAATCTATGACTTAGCTAGCATCTTAACATACAATGTTTCTAAGTAAAATAATTTTAAATTTATAGTTAATAAAAAAATTGTTTATTAAAAATGAGTTTACTTGAAAATTAATATATTAATATAAATATCTTATATTTTTTTGGGTTTTCACTCTTTAATTATGAGTAATTTTATTTTAAATAAAAATAAAGGTATTCAACTATGTGCTTTGATGATTATATTTGTCAATTACAGAAACTAGCCAATTTATAGATCCTGTCAATTAACTTAAGTTTGTAAATTAAAATTATTTTTTTTCTATTTTTGGGTATTCTACTATTTAATTTATGACTATCTAACCGTCTGCAATGTTAAAAATTAAAACTAAAAACTTTTATTTCCTTTCAATCAAAAATTTAAAAACTTATTTAAATATTAAAAACAGTTATCATTATAGAAGAGATGATAAAAAAAGTTTTACAAATTCTTAATTTTTGAGCTTATGTAGTTTGTTATCAAAATATGAAAACCTCTTATCTTTTACTCTTCATTTAAGGTAATTTAAAAATAAAATATTAAATTCATTTATATTATTAGTATAAATCGTTTTGTATAGCCAAATAAATAAAAATTAATAGTATTTTTAATAATTTTATTCACCAATTTTAAATACAATTATTCTAAAAATAAAGAAAAAATTAAGTTCAAGATCAGGAATTATAAAATTTATGTATAAATTTGTTTAATTGCAAAAGCATTTAAATCTTAAGACTCTATTTAAGGTAAATTAATAAATAAAACATATTTGCTTGAGAGAGCAGACTTTTGATTAAAATTTTTATAAATGGATTTTATTAATAATTTTTATAGATATTTGATACTTGATTTATATCACTTTTTTAAAATTACAAACAGTTTAAAAAAATAACTTGTATCATTACTTCCAATTTATTTTTTTAAAATATTTTATTTTCTAAAATTATAAAAAAAAAATTATTAGATAGATATTCTTTCAATAATCTATATTTTATTTTATTATTTTTAATATATCCATCCTAACTTTATTTTAATACCTAACCAATTTATCTAATTGCCTTTCATCATTTCTATACTTTTTCTTTTTTCCAAGCTAATTAGTATACTTTTCTTAATCAAATTCTAGGAGAAATATGGCATAAATAATTTACCATAGATGGAATAGAATTATATATTTCGTAAATTTTTGGTGAAATAGAAGTTTTTTAAAAATCTCTCATCATTTTTAACAATTAAAATTTTTTCTCTAATTCCATCACAATTAAAAACTAATGATAGAAAAAAACAATGAATATTTTTTTAATCTATTATAAAACTGCTTCAATTAATTTTAGCAAACAGATATTTTATATTTTTTAAACAAAGAAGCAATAAATTAATTGAAATTAATTTTTAACAATAGGTATCTCTCCTATCTATCAATTTTATAAATTTAACATTTCATCTTTTGTTATATAAGCATTCAATATAATAAGTAATATAAATTAAAAATAATAAAAAGTGATAATAAAATTGGAGAGTAGGGATTTGCAGCTTTAGGATCATTTTTAGAAGGACTGAACAATCTTTCTGAATTAGCACTAGCATTTAAGTAAGAGAAATTAATTATTTGTCTTTAAATAAGTTAAATCTAAAAAAATTGATAATATTTTCATTTAACTTTTCTTATTTAATTTTAATTTAGATTTATTAGAAGTTTTAAGTATTAAAAATTGTTATATTTAATAAAAATTGATTCATCAATTTATTTAATATTTAGCTTAATTCCTAATTAAAATAAATAACTTTTTTAATTTATTATTCTCTGCATTTTCAAAAAAAGATATTCCAATATAATTAATTAAAATATTTCATTTTTATTTTCTTCTTATTAATATAATAAATTTGGTTATTAGCTTTAATTATTTTGTTTGGATACATTATTTATTAATAAATGTTTTTTTTAGATATTTTATTATATTTTTTTAAAAACTTCTATAGCAATAATAATCTTGAAAATAATGAAGTTAAAGATCTTTATATTTCTTTGGCTAAATGCAAAAAGATCTCAAAACTAACACTTATTTCAGGGTATAAATTATCTTTTCCTAATAGCTCTTTATTAATTTATTTAATTTTCTGTAGTTTAAATTTTTAATACTTGTTGAATATGTTAAAGGAATTTTTAAGTTAATTCTTTTTCACTAAAAAAAGAAATAATCATATGCATAAAAATAGCATAATACATTTAGGATAGGCCTTAATGCAATTAAATAACCTCTCAACTCTGAGTATAAAAGATCATGAGTAAAAAAAATTTATTTATTTTATTAATTAAAAAATTAATTTTCTTTAAATGATAATAATAAATTTGATTTTCTTTCTTATTTTAAATTAAAATTTAATTTTAATAAGTTTAACATGCTAAGGATTTCTAGGTTATTTGAAGAGCTGCCAAAGAGTTTCTTTTCTTAAATTAGATAGTATGTAAAAAAATTCAAGATTCTTATTTATATTATTTATAATAATTTTGAATACTCAATAGTGATGTTCTCATATTTTTTTAAATTTAAACGTAATATAGGTATGATGTCATAAACATAATTTTGAAAATGAAGAGACTTGTAAAATTTGCTAAATACGGATTATGAATCTTTAATTCTAATTCTTATTTACAATATATACTTATTCAATTATGATTTTAGATTTAATTTTTCATAGAAATCTTTGTATTAAAAAAATTTGTAATATAAAAAAAGAGTAAAATATAATTTATTATTTTAATTTTTAGCTAATTTCATAAAGTTATTTATTTATTTATAAATATAATATTATAATTTCTCATAAATTAACCAGCTTTGAATTTCATATAAATTTGGTTTAAGTATGTTTTACTTTTTGTTTCTATTTTTTCAATTCAACCGAATATTTTAATTAAATTTTAAGAATTTACAGTAAAAGTTTAATTATTTGTACTAAAAATTTAAATACTCTGCTTGATTTTTAAATAAAGCTATATTTGTCAGATAAATTCTTATTTAAAAAAGAAAAGAAAAAATATGTAAACTACCATTTAGTCATTTATATATTAATATTTATACGAATTCTGCTGATTACATAAATGTATCCAATCAGCAGAAATTTAAAACCAGGAAAGGCAAAATGTAAATCTAATTAATAAATATAAATATTTAAATTATTTTATAGTTTTATTAATTTTACTTAAATTACTTATTTTTTTAATTAATCTCTTAATTATAATTCTAATTCTTATAGTTTTGATTGAATTGTCAGATTGTTTCTATTAGTTATAATATATTAAATATAAATTAATCAAAGAATTTGTTTTGTAATATATTTATTAAATTCATTTTTTTTGATATTAAAATTATTATTTCGCAAATAAAGATATTTATTTTGATTAAATCATAAATCACTAAGTGAAAGGAGTAAATTAACAAAATGATCCATTTTTACTATATTTTTTGCTTTTTATCAATAAATAAATTGAGTTTTTACCAAAAATCAAGCGTCTTATTTGTGATTTTCTTGCACTACGCTATTGCTGTGGCTAAATCTTTTGCACCCTATGCACCAATATTATTTCCCCTTTAAATATATGAATAAATAATGAATTAAAAAAATAAATTTGGAGGAGAAAGGATTGTAAAAAAAGATTGCTGCCTTTGTTAGTATTTTAGTTTGTTTTTGAAGGAGTAAGTAAACAAATTGATTATTTTTTAGCTGAGTAGTAAGTATGTAAGCAAATAAGTATTTATGTATGTAATTAAGTAAGCAATCTAATAACTAAATAACAAACTAATTAACTAACTAACTAACGAAGTGACTTAATTAGCTCATCACTAAGTGAAAAGCGTAAATCAGCAAAATAAACAAATTTTTCTATAAATCTTGCTTTTTATCAATCAATAAAAGAAGTTTTTACCTTAAATCAAGCGTCAAACTTGTGATATTCTTGTACTACGCTATTCCTGTGGCTAAATCTTTTGCACCCTATGCACCAATACTATTTTTCCTTTAAATATAAGAATAAATAATGAATTAAAAAAATAAATTTGGAGGAGAAAGGATTGTAAAAAAAGATTGCTGCCTTTGTTAGTATTTTAGTTTGTTTTTGAAGGAGTAAGTAAACAAATTGATTATTTTTTAGCTGAGTAGTAAGTATGTAAGCAAATAAGTATTTATGTATGTAATTAAGTAAGCAATCTAATAACTAAATAACAAACTAATTAACTAACTAACTAACTAACGAAGTGACTTAATTAGCTCATC